TAAAATTCTGCTGTGGTGCTTGAAATGTGCAACCAGAATTTGTACAGCTGTAGCGGATGCAAGATTTATGTAATGGAGTGAATTCCAGGCAAGCAAACTTGCATGAAATAATTGATCATTTGTGACTTTTCTTTCTCTGGCCATGCTGTGTGCAGAGTTGTGCCTGTTGGTATGTCTCACACCAAAGGATGATTTTTCACCTCTTATAATACTGAAATATAGCAAGCTCCCAGGACTTCCAAATCGGCAATATCAAACATGAAAGGTACCCCAGCTTGCTGGGAGATGTTGAGGTCTCTGGGTGTGACAGAGGGTCAGTTTGTTTTCTCTGCTGATTGCTCTCCTCGTGGAGGTGTGGGCACCACGGAGTGCTCTGAAATGGCAAAGCACAGGAGCATGAATGGGAGTTTTGGAATGATTTATTTGGGAGAAGTGCATGGTGAGAGGACAGTGCCTTCCAGTTCCCATGAAACAGAAGGAAGGAGGTTGCCATTTCTGTCACAAATGTGTTTTGTACTTCAAGTTCATTGTGTATCGGCCTTTTAACAAGTAACATTTTGAATGTCTGATCACCTCTACTGAAAGAGGAGGAAGGTTTTGGGCTTTCTGTTGTTGTTTCTTACAGCTTATGGGATCTTTGCTGCGATGGGCAGAGTAATTTTGAAGGCAGGTTGTGGTGTTTGGTACAGCTTCTCTGACACAGAAAGGACCTGGACTGTGAGGAGATACGTTAGAGGTTGGGAGGGAGTGAAAAAAGAAGGGAAAAAGAGATGAGAATTGGAAGTTGGAATGAAGCCATCGGTTTGGTAGCAGGAGAGTAACAGGTAACAGCTGTGTCTGGGTTGAGGAGGAGGGAAGTGTGAGATTTGGAGCTTGGTGCTTGTTGTGGAAACCATTTATGATTTAGAAGCACTGAGGTGACTTGCTCCTGCGTGTTGGGTTGTGTGACATCAGAGTGGCCAAGTATTAAAAGTTTTGAATAAACAAACTGAGAGATTATCAAACAAATACCACAACAGTGATGATCTCATTTTAAACAATATGAGGTTTAACGAGATGGGTTTTTACAGTTGCTCCTATTTAGGAATCCCTTTAAAACGAGAAATCAAAGGATTTATCCGTTCTCCTGTGTCCTAATCTTTGGCTAAGAATATTTTCTCATAAAGCTGATTTACTGCAGTGGGTGTACTGTGTATTTCATGTGTATGCTTCACTCGTATTCTTCAGCAGCAAATTTCCAGGCACCATCAATGCTGCTTTGTATTTTATAACTATAACATCCCTCTGATACTCCACCCCCACCACAAATAGGGACAGCTCTGACGCTGACTTGAATATCTAACTAATATTGTGATGTATTAATAATGTTCAATATTTTGAGTGTTCCTGTGTATGTTTCAGGACGTCTGTTTCACAGCACAGGGAAACTGTTCCTTTGGTGTTACTCAGACAACCTGTTAAAAATAAATCCCTGCT